GCCCTGCCTGATCTGACAGACATCACTATCTCTCACAAAGACCTGCAGCCTTGCAGAGGGTCTGGTACTTGGTGGCTGAAATGACAGCTAACTTGGATTACATACTCTTCACCCTGTCACTAGACTTTCTTAGGACTAAGCTTTAGCTCAAGGAAAATGACTTCCCTGAGGAGATTCTGGAAGCTTTAAGGTGTAAGAAAGGGAATACCAAGTAAACCAATGGATTTTCCTTTTGGCTTTTCTGCCAGGAAACTTTCAGTCAGATTTATAGCTCCACATTTATAGCTTAAATATTGAGCATGGTGGTGCTTGAAAGTAATGATTACTTTTTTCATCCTTCAGATTACCAAGATATGACTTTTCCTTGAAAATTAAGGCAAACATCTGAGCCAGGACCAAAAGCTGGAATGACTCAGACACACAGTGGTCACGGGGGCAGTACCAGTGCCTTCTTTGGATTTTGTTGCCCTCCCAAGGTTTCCGGGAACAATCTTTAGAGTTTGGGGCAGACCTCTTACGAGGGGAAATGGGAGAGGGAAGGGCTGGTCAAATGACAGTATGGAAGCCAAGGAACAGGGCACTCACCAAGATGGGGAGGAAAAGAGTGTGTGTGTGTGTGTGTGTGTGTGTGTGTGTGTGTGTGTGTGTGTTTATTAGAGGGTGGGAAGCCAAGAAATATGATCGGGGACCAAACAATTCTAGTTTCCTCTGCTTACCTGTTTCTGCCACTCACTTGCTCTGTGTCCTAGCAATTCTCTGACTTCTCTGGACAGAAGCCCCCGAGGTTGAAGCAAGTGTTCTACATCCCATTCATACCAGTTCCCAAACATTCCTTGCCCTTTCACACTCTCAGACTCTTCCTGCTGTCTCTTTTTGGTACTGGCGATTTAACCCAGGGGTGTTTTACCACTGAGCTACATCCCCAGTCCTTTTTATTTATTTGCTTATTATTTTGAGAAAGGGTCTTGCTAAATTGCTGAGGCTGGCCTCAACCTTGCAATCCTCCTGCCTCAGCCTCCCAAATTGATGGGATTACAGGGGTGCACCACCAAAGCCAATTCTCTTTATCCATGTTAGCAAATTCCTCCTTATCCTTCA